GACCATCTCCACGGACAAGATGACCACGGTCAGATTCTGGAGCGGCTTGGCGAGGCAATGCGAACAGACTTTGGGCCATCAAACTGCGAGACGATGTGGTCTGTCGAGCAGGAAGGCGAATGCGAGCAGACTTTGGGAGAGTCAAACTGCGAGATGAAACCGTCTGTCGGGCGGGAAGGCGAATGATAGCAGACAGACGCATCGTCGGTTTGGAGACGACGTGCAAACAAAAAGAACAGGAAAAACGGGAAGATGTCGTCGTCTTCGGGTAAGGCGAGTAGTCAGACGTCGTCAGGCAGCGTCGTCAATTGGGTGAAAAGACCCGCGAGCGTACGTGAAATCGTATAGATAAACACAGAACTTTATTTAATGAAATTGGATAAGTTAAAATGCATCTATATAGTAATAGATAAGTGTTTACAAAAATATATACATAAATATATATTAGATTGATGTGAGTGTAGAACGAGAATAAACCAAGAGAGGAAAGAAATGGGTTTTCAAGTTTAATGATATGAATCAGAAAAAAGAGTTGACTAAGACTAAGTCGAAATCCAAGTTCATATATTTTCTTTTTAAGAGATTGCTTTATATTTTCAACAAGGTCTTCACATTATAATTAATTTTACATAAAGCACATTATTATTTGAAATTCATATAAAGTTTATATATATAGTGAAAAATAATGAAATAAAATATATGTGCATGTTGATTAAAATAAGTCACCCCCTTTTCTTACTCTCAAGGGACACTAATTTACTGCAGACATAATAGAAAAGTTTTAAAAAGAAAATAAAATTTTTTGTATCTTAACTAGCACAAAATTTGACGTTGCTCCTATGATGAGTGTATTTATTAAAAGCCAAACTATGATAAAGACTGACCAACTTTTTTAAGAATGTCATTTTACTTGATAATAAATGTTATAAATGTGTGCTTATTCTTCTTGAAGTAAATAGGACTATACAAGTTTTACATTTCTGTCAAAATAAATATGCTAAAAATTATGCATGCATGTTAGCTCTGTTCGTGAGATTGCAATGCCATAAAATAGTAATTACACTGAGTTGTTATATGACTCAAGTCACTCAATTTTTATGTTATATTTATTCTCAAGAAAAGATATTTTAAACTAAATGAATAACAGAAAGAACTTTAGTATCTGTTTTAAGCTCTTCACTGAATTTCTTGTATCAAATATAAGATGTTGAATGTGAATGATGGTAATTTATTGTTTAACGGCTTCTTAAAATTTGTAAAATTTTCTGGATTCATTTAATTATAAAAGGAAAAATAAAAATCTTACCTGTCTTCCTAACTTAACATTTTTGGGATAGATCATGCTGACTGTTGCCAATTAGGGGATTCAATTAAGCTCAAAAGCTCAAAAATTGTTCAAGATAAACTCATGTTAAATTTGAAACTATTTGATCAAAACTATAAGTTAATCCTGATTAGTAAGTGCAAGCTAGCTTGGTGGGTTTTTAATGGAGACATGTGCAGATATGAATGTATGTGCTTAGTAAGTTCATGCTAGCTTGCTAGACTTTTATTGGAGAAATGCATATATTAATGTACGTACTTATCAAAAGAGATTTCAATGGAATATTTTTTTTTTAAAAAAAAGGAATCATATCTTAACGCGGAAAGATATATTTATTAGAATCTTCATATTTCTTCATTACATCAAACAAACTCGTTCATTTATAAAAATACATACACAAAACACATTTCAATGAAAATAATTTTTTTGTTCTTTAAAATTTCATCCAATAAATATCTCATGAAAATGTAGTATAGAGATTTAAAGGATTTATGTCATGATTTTTCGACAAATATTTTGCGCTGATTGCGGTTACCTAACGCAACCCTCTACTTTTCACATTCAGAGCTTGGGACCCGACAATGGTGGTATTTGACACTTAGGGTCAAGATGTGAAATGAATATATTCATGATAGAGTTGGTGTAGCTCCAATTGTGGATAAGAATAGAAAGAGTAATCTTAGATGGTTTGGTTACATTAAACGTTGATCATCTGATGATTCGGTTATGAGAGTAGATGTTTTCGATTCGACTTATGTTAAAAAAGACGGAGATAGACTTAAAAAGACTTAGGCATATTGAATGAAAAAATGATTTTAATCTATTATAATTAAATGAAAATATGACACTCAATAGGATGCAATGAAGAAAAAGGATTCATATAGCCGGCCCACTTAGTGGGATAACGGCTTGTCGTTGTTGTATGAAAATGTGATATAAATTTTCTTTAAAAGTAATACTTATTAATATTAAATATCGAATTTTTGTCTTGTTGAACAATGTAGATCGCTATTACAATTTTAATCTACAATTTTTCCATTAATGGTATTAACCTAGCAGTCACAACAAGGAAACACCAAATATGTGAGATAATCTTATTCTATTGCTATTTCATGATTCGTCTAGTGCGAGCTCATATTTCTTCAGCAAATATTAACATAATTCTTAACATTTACTTAATATGAACCTTTATAAACTCAAAAATAGGTTTAATTCAATTTTATTTTGTTCAAAATCAATTATAGCTCATTTGAGTTTGATTTTACATCATATTGGATGTGATTTGGGCTTAACTTTTTCCATCCTTTGGCACGCGTATTACAATAGCTACCATTACTTGGTATAAAATCCTTCACATGCTTTACATCACATTTTAAATTTTTTTTACATATAGTTAGCCTGCTTTTCAACTGAATATATAATTCACATAATGTTAGTATTCTATGGCGTTCAATGATTCAAAAAACAAGTTAATGAACAAGTGTTCATTTTTAGCCATTTCTTGGTCCAAGGAAATCAATGTTTGTGTTCTTCCAAAGACCTCCATGTATGCTCGAGAATCGATATGGAGCATTAGAATTTTTGGGGGAAAACATATGGTCTTTGAGAAAAGGTACGACAGCATAAGTGTAGATGTTGGATAGAACAATTGGTGGCATCGAATGAAATAAATAATGATAACAGATACCCATAGGAAGATGCGATTGGTCACATCAAAAAAAAAATTTTTTGATATCATCCAATAACCCAATGTGATTGAACATGGATAGATAAACAAAATTGAAATAATATAACTTTTCTTCTATAAATTATGTAAGTAAATTCTAAACATTGCCCTTCCTAACACTAAAAGGCCTTCTCTAATAAGCTTCAAAATAATGTTAGGTCTTTAAATTACACCGAAAAATCTAAACAATAAGAAAATCTCAAGACTTAATTAATTCAACTATCAAAATTGATGTGCTTCTCTTATGTATAATGAGACTGTTAAAATTAAACAAATAATTAAATGTTAAATTCTTTCTGGGTGGGATTTGCATTTATGACACAACTCTTATGTATTTGCATATGTAACACCTAATTTTTTTAATATTTAATTATATAAAACTCAAATCTTTCACATCATTCAAAAATACCAATAAAACTTTTTAATGTGCAATGCGTCTTTTCATGCATATGTTTGCATATGATTATAATGCTGAAGGCTGTTTGGTAATCAAATTTAAGCAAAACTTTAAACAAAATTTAACATGACTCCTACCAAACACTAAAAAATGATAGATTAAATTGTACAAATTTTGAAGTAATGTCACCTCTGTTTCGGCCTAAATCTCATATTCAATAAATCAACGGATTTAGCTAGTATATAAAAACACAAAAGGGAAGAGGGTTTACCATCAGCAGTCCTCCAAATCTAAGCAGCACCACAACGCCTTCACAATCTCATCAATGCCTTCATCAACAAGCTCCAATTTTCAGACTTCTTTACAAGACAGAGTTTTCATGTAGGAGGGGACGAGGAGGAAGGGGTGATAATAAAGGGATTTGTTGATTAAAATCACTAATTAGCTATAATATTACTAATTATCAATTTATTTAATATTGAGGTTAGATTTGATTTGCATTTAATTATTAAATTTAATCCATTTAATGAGCCATAAACTAATAATTAAATAAAATAGCACCTTATATTAAGTATGATTTAATGGATTTTTTATACAAATTAAATAATTTACAAAATAAAGCAACTACAAATAAGTCAATTAAAATTAAATTAGCCTTATTAATTAATGTTAATTAATCAAAAAAATTAATAAGAAAGTATTATTCGTGGTTTAGAAGCCCTTGTATTAAGCTAGCTTAATAATTCAATAATTAATTAAAAAATTAGATTATTGCTTAAAGTAATTCTATGATTAATAATTACAACTATAATTTATGATTATAATTATATTTGAGTTAACAGACTTAAATCCTACAATAAGCAGCCATACAGTTCATCAAGATTTGACCAAATTTTATATATGTCATACAAAGCAATTTTCAGGAATGAATTTGCAATATTTACTCACAAAATTAAATAATCAGTTAAAAAGTATAAAATATCGTACATATTCTGCAATTTTGACACAAAAAACCTGCCTAATCTCTCAAAAGCAGGTGCCAAACACATGCTTAAACCATTCTATAAAAGAGAGTAAGATCACCAACGTCCTAGTCAAATAGGTTCATAACAACGCAAGCCAGACGTTCTGCGCACAAGGGGGATGGCAAGAAACTAATGGACTGACACTGCGCTTGGTAGATGGTATCACATTTCCATATAAGAAAATAAACAAAATAAAAAATATATGTATTATACAAGCAAGCAGTGAGCTCAGAACAGTCCCATACAAACACAGGATCGCTCATCTGCATGATCAAACCGAATGCCAAAACCAATCGAAATGACATTGAAAAGGGAAATACAAATCAGTGCGGTTCAGTTGGTGGCCCAGTGGCTGAGCAGTTTCTCGAGCGCTATACCAGCCGTCCCATAAAAAATAAATAAATAAAAGACAGATCAATGGGGCAAGAAATCAAGCAATTGAGACGCGCAGCACAGCCGATGAGACTAGAATAAAACAAAAGACATTAATGAAACAGTAAGAAGCGCAAAAGGAATGAGAGATCAGACCTTTCACCGGAAAAGCGAATCGCCGTTCCCGACTGCCGCCGTAATGTTCCTAAGCCGACGACAGTCGGGCCGGGGCTGTCGCCGGAGGCTTATAGACGAAGCCTGAGTGATCTGTTCGCGGATTCCAAGCGAATTTATTAAATGCAGTTTAAAGAGCTTCCACTCCGATGAGCAGCGCTTTTGTTTGTGCAGCTCGGTCTATCTATCCGGTCCGTCAATTTATCTTAGAAGCTACTTGTACGGTTGGGATTGTTGGAAAAGCAACGGCTCATCCTTTCTTAACGATGAAGCTTGGCTTGAATGACCACAAAGGTGGAATAATTCATAAAATTCACATGAAGACCAAACGATAATAATGATTTATGTTATGCAATCATATATTAATTGATAATAACTTTTAAAAAATTATTACAAAAAGATGAAGTATACATTTGATTTATTTATCCATAAATATAGCATAAAAAAAAAAATTTTACAGCAGGATTTTATTTTCTTCCATTAACTATTTTTAATCTTATCCAAATGAAACTCAGTCGAATTAAACTATTTTGTCACATTTTTTAGGGCTTGTCATCCCGACCTTTGTGTGTGAATTCGATAATTTTCAATGATCTTTACAATCATTCTAGAGATATTTGACCTACAATATCTTTGACTATAAGAAATCATCAATCCAACTCAAATTATATTAATATCATTATGTTGTTTGAAGTCTTATAGTCACGTCATATTAATATTCATGAAAATAACTAATATGATTATCTGCATCAAACTTTCTAATTTTCGTGTGTGGCTATCATAATATATTTTTAGGGATTCATCATTCACTAATCAATTTATATTAATGTCTCATTTAAATTTATTACATGCTTAATATTACTGGAAGTTATTTCAATCACACAATGTCCTGTAATTTTTTTTTGTTTTAGGATATTTTAAATAAAAAAATCATATTTTATTTAAAATATTTCTCTGATTTGGTCTTTTCAAATGAATGTAAGGGCTCTCTACTAGCTTCAATATTATGAATGTTTTATATTTTATCTCAAATTGTCTAAAACATTTTTCATCATTTTCAATAAAAAACATATTTAGTAATTGTCAATAAAAAAGGACCTCAATATCTCAATTTTTGAAAAACATGGTACAACTTATTGGCTAATTTGAAAGAAAACTGGAGGCATGCAACACAAAATTAAATTTTAAAATAGTTTAAGCAATAAAAATGTGGATGGTTCGATATTCGATTAGTTTTGCTGATTGATGAGTTTTATCCCCAAACAAACTGCATGTTAATAAACATAACTCTCCATAAAAATAAAATTACAAAAAATAACATTTTTTACCTTGTCATGTGATTCATATTTTTTCAGCAATTTAATGTCAAATTAAATTATTATTTTGGGGGTGTATGTTAGAAAATTCATGTTTCAACTTTATGACACAAATTTCAAAAGATAAGTACATAATAGTCAAGATCTTTTAAATTCATGATTTTTTTTATATCTAAAATAAAGTGACGCATACATGTATTCATGATGAACAAATTTGATCTTTAAGAGGTGAAGTTTCTCTCTCTAATCCCTTGAAACTTTCTGTATTTTTTTATGGAGGGAAATGTACGGGGTGTGTTAGGTTGAGAGAATATTCATTCTCAAATTCATGCTCTATTTAACCACCATCGATCAAAGAGGTTACAAACCAATAGGATTTATGATAATTTAATTAATTAATTAATTTTTATTAATAAAATTAATGACATGAGTTAGTACCATTTATTTATTTTAGGGATTATATGAGTTACAAAAATAAATATCATAAGTTATGACATGAGTTATGAGTTAAGAAAATAAATAACTTAAGTTATCAAAATAAATATCATAAGTTGTCATAATTTATAACATAACTTATGAGTTAAAAAAATTAATAACTTAAGTTATCAAAAATAAATCTCATAAGTTATTAAAATAAATATGAGTCATAAATAAAAATATAACATTCTTTCACTTGGCTCACTTAATTTTAATAGTGCATTACATACTGCAAGATAAATCCTTCTTTATATTGGTTAAATCATAAATTATTTAATAAGTACGAAATTAATATGAATCATGGCGGTTGTGCATCAATTTATCGACACAGTCTCTTCCATGTATCACAATATTAATTACATACTTAGCATAATGAGAGTTAACATCATGGACCCATAATGTCTATTAAAAGACAAACCTTGTTGAAACATCATGCAACATAAAGTGTACACTAACGATAAAAACAAGAATTATAAATATCAGAAACAAGAAAATTTAGATCCAAAATGTCAAAATATAAAGAGCATAAAACTAATAAAGGGTTTTGGTAATGCCCATTCTTACGACATGTTCGTTAAATGTCTTCGGTGACTTTTGTCAAAGGATCTGCAATCATGAGATTTGTGCTAATATGTTCAATTGACACTCTATGTTTATGAGCTTCTTCCTTAACGGTAAGCTATTTTAATTTCATGTGTTTGGCACATTTGGAATACTCGTCGTTTTTGGAAAAGAAGACTGCTGCGGAGTAATCACAATAAATTTTTAACGGCTTGACAATACGGTTGACAATTCCAAGTCCTGAAATAAAATTCCGCAGCCATAAACCCTGAATTGTAGCTTCAAAGCAAGCCACCAATTTTCATAGTGGAAGCAGCTGTGATTGTCTGCTTCGCACTTTTTCCATTAGATTGCTCATTCAGCCAAAATGAACAAATAGCCAAATGTTGATTTTCTGGTATCAACACATCCAGCAAAATCTAAATCTGAATATCATATCACTTCAAGATCTTTAGATCTTTTAGATCTTCATAAGTGAGCATGTGGTCATTTGTTCCTTGTAGATACCTCAAAACTTTATTTGCAGCTTTCCAATGATCTATTCATGGAATACTTCGATACCTGCCCAGCATCCCGACGACAAAACTGATGTCTGGTCTGGTACAAGTTTGAGCATTATTTAAGCTTCCAACAATAGATGCACAAAGAATTTGTTCCATTTTCTTATGTTCCAAATCATTCTTTGGATACTGCATAAGGCTGAATTTATCTCTTTTCTAAATTGGAGCAACACTTGCTGAGCAACCTTCCATATTGAATCTCTTAAGAACTCTTTCGATATATATTTTCTGAGACAGCCCTAACAATCATTGTGATCTATCACAAAATATTTCAATTCCAATCACATAGGATGTCTCACTCATATCTTTCATCTCAAAGTTCTTAGAGAGAAAATTATTAGTTTCATATAATAAGCCAATATCATTAGTAGCCAGCAAGATGTCATCAACATACATAATAAAAAATATAATTTTGCTCCCACTGATCTTTAGATATATACACTGATCAACAATGTTTTCCTTAAATCTAAAGAACGTGATGGTATCATTAAACTTAAGATATCATTGTCGGGAAGCTTGCTTAAGTCCGTATATTGATTTCTTAAGTTTACACACCATGTGTTCCTAACCTTCAACCAAAAATCCTTCAGGTTGACTCATATAGACCTCTTCATCTAAATTCCCATTCATAAAGACAGTTTTCACATCTATTTGGTGTAACTTCAAATCATAATGAGCTACTAGTACCATGATAATTCTAAATGAATCTTTCTTAGAAACCGGAGAAAATGTTTCTTTATAGTCGATGTCATCTTTCTGAGTGAAACCTTTGGCAACAAGTCTGGCTTTATATCGTTCAATATTGTCATTCGAAACACGCTTAGTCTTAAAGACCCATTTACACCCGACTCTTTTACAACCTTCAGGCAATTCAACGATATCTCAGACTTTGTTGTGATCCATTGATTTCAACTCATCTTTCATTGCATCTAACCATTTAGAAGAATTTGCACTTTTTATGACTTGTGAAAATAAAACTGGATATTCATTGACTCCTAAGTCAAATTCGGATTCATGAAGATAAACTACATAATTATCGGAAATAGCAGACCGTTTTGTCGTTGAGACTTTCTAGGTACTACTTTATGTGGTTCATCTAATGTAGGTTCATTAGTGACAGTTTCATTATGGGGTATTTGATCATATATTTATTGTTTTTGTAAGTTGTCAAAATGTTCAACAGGTGTAGGAATAACAACTTGAGAAGAAAATTTTGGGTAAAGGAACTTGAACCCTAATTTCTTGGATCTCCACTGTATGTGGTTCCAAACTCCCACTAACTTCATCATTTTCAATGAACTTAGCATTTTTCAGTTTTAATAATTCTTGTACTGTGATTAGAACAATAAAATATATAGCCTTTAGATTTTTCTGGATAACCAATGAAGAAACCACTGGTTGTTCTTGAGTCCAGTTTATTTTCATGTGGATTATATAACCTTATTTTCGTTGGGCAACCCCAAACACGCAGGTGCCTTAAACTAGGTTTCCTTCCTGTCCAAAGTTCAAAATGAGTCTTTGGAACTGCCTTACTAGGAATCCTATTTAATAAATATGTAGCAGTCTTTAAAGCATGCATCCACAATGATGAGGGTAAAGAAGAATTACTCACCATAATCCTAACCATTTCCATTAGAGTACGATTTCGTCTTTCTGCAACACCATTTTATTGTGGTTGTGGTGTTCCTGAGTGTTCCTGACATAGTGTATTGAGCACATATGTCATTAGTTTGAAGAAATTTAGCAAATGGACCTGGACATTGTCCCAGATTCATTGTAAGTTCCATAATGTTCACCGCCTATATCAAACCTGATAATTTTTACTTTCTGTATAATTATCTCTCAATCTCAGTTATATGCATCTTTAAGACATCTATAACTTGAGGTTTTTGATGCAATAAATAGACATACTCATAACGTGAAAAATCATCAATAAATGTGATAAAGTATTTCTCTCCACCAAAAGATAAAACATCAAAAAATCCACAAATATCAGTGTGTATAGCTTCAAGGAGTTGTGTGCTTCTTGTGGCGGCTTTCTTAACTGTGTGATTTGTGTGTTTTCCTTTAATACAATTAACACAGATGCCAAGATTAGTAAAATCTAATTCATTAAGGATTTCATTCTTTACTAATCTTTCAATTCTTTCTTTGGATATATGACCCAAACATTTATGCCATAAATAAGCTGAACTTTCATTCATAAACCCACGTTTAGTAACAATATTATGATGCAAAGTCATCAAATTCTCAGAGAAAAGGTTATCAAGTTTAAGGTTGTATAGGTCATCACAAAGAATACCAGAACCTATGAGATGATTGTGAGGTGTTTAAACAAACTAAAACAACCATTTCCAATTTTAAATGAGTATCCAATAAAATCAAGTTTAGACAACGAAATCAAATTATGAGAAACAGAAGGGACAAAATGTTTGAAAAAAGTTTAAATGATGTCCAGTATCTAAAATCAACTGATAGGTTCCAATAGCTTCAACTGACGTTTTGACTCGGTTTCTCCTGAAGACAAATTGTTCATTTCGGTTTATGATTTGGGTTGTGAGGAATCCCTACATCATATTAGAAACATGAGTGGTACAACCAGAATTAATCCACCAGGTATTATAAGGAACTTCTGCCAAATTTGATTTGAAACATACAAAAACACAATGTTTACCTTTCTTTTCGAATCAGTCTTTGCGCTTTTGACACTCATTTTGATAGTGTCCAGACTTTCTGCAAAAGTGACACTTAATTCCTTTGTATTCCTCTTTGTGAATTGGGGCAGATGACACATTAATCTTTAATGGTCCTTGCTTGCCCTTTCCATTCTTCTTTCTAGGTTTCTTTACAGTTTTTATTTGATGACCCATGAGATTAATGGAGTGATTTGTTCATTTCTTAAGCCTTGCTTCCTCTTGAATGAGCATACATTGTAGTTCATTCACATTTCACTTATCTTTCATAGTGTTGTAGTTCATGTGAAATGGACCATACTCAGGAGGCAATGAGTTAATGATAAATTGCACAAGGAAAATTTCATTCACTTTCATTCTTAGGGTCTTAAGTCTTGCTGCTATGTTCGTCATTTCAACGACATGCTCAAGGATGGTACGAGAACCATCAAATTTCATGTTGGTTAACGTACTTAATAGTGTCCCAACAAGAGTCTTATCAGCAGAGTCAGACTGAGAACAATTCTCAGCAAATTTCATAAATTTCTTAGCACTTCAAATGTTAGAAAACGTACACTTTATGTTGTTTGGTACAGTCATTCGCATAAACATTAAGCTTAATATGTTCGATTTTTCCCAAGCTTTATAGAAAGATATTTGCTCAGTACTGCTAAAATCAGTAAACTGCTGGGGTTTCTCAGTCGTAAGTGATAAATCAAGATCCAGAACACCAAGGTGAAACTGGACTTGCTCACGCCATTCAGAAAACACCAAGGTGAAAACACCAAGGTGAAACTGGACTTGCTCACGCCATTCAGAGAAATTAAACTCTTTGAAAGTTTGAATAGATGTAGCTTGCGAATGAAGAGAAACATGAGTAGTTACTGTAAATAAATAAAACATGCTCGTATATTAATGCTTCAAACATTAAACTTACATAGATATCCATATAAAATCAGATTAAAATAATGATCATAATAATAATAGCGTATTGAAATCTCCTTTGGGTAATATAACAATACACGATAATAAACATAATTGATGCTTGACTTAAATTTAATATAATTGATAATTATTTATACTCAAGTTAGACATGTCTATTATCTTTGGATATATAAACATACCTTAACTTAGTATATAAGTAGACTACAATTATATTCAATGATTATAAAACAAATGATCAACCTTTGGGCGATCTAAAAATATTATTGTAATAAATGAATTTTAATATTTTTTTTAATAAAATATGAATTTATTTCATAACAAACATCACATACACTTGATTAATTTAATTTATTTAATTTAACGTCTATTAAACTTATTAATTTGGTCACTTTGGTGACTAACAAATTAAGCATTACATAGACATTAAATAAATAATAATTTCAATCATATCAATTTACTTTAGTTTTATTGATCTAATTAAAAATCTAATACACAACGGAAATTTATTACAATTAACATAAATAAAATTATATGAAAAATCATAAATTTAGTAATCAAGGCTCTGATACCACAGGTTAGAAAATTCATGTTTCAACTTTATGAGACAAATTTCAAAAGAAAAAGTACATAATAGCCAAGATCTTTTAAATTCATATTTTTTTTATATCTAAAATAAAATGACGCATACTTGTATTCATGATGAACAAATTTGATCTTGAAGAAATGTAGTTTCTCTCTCTAATCCCTTGAAACTTTATGTACTTTCTGATGGAGGGAAATGTACGGGGTGTGTTAAGTAGAGAGGTCTCATTCTCAAATTCATGCTCTATTTAACTACCATCCATCAAGGGGGTTACTAACCAATATGATTTATGATAATTTAATAAATTAATTGATTTTTAATTAATGTTAAGTAAATAAATAAATTAAGTTATCATGAGTTATAAAAATAAATAATATGAGTTATCATAAGTTATGATTAAAGTTATGAGTTAAGAAAATTAATAACTTAAGTTATCATGAGTTATAAAAATAAATATCATAAGTTATGATATAAGTTATGAGTTAAGAAAATAAATAACTTAAGTTTTCAAAATAAATATCATAAGTTATTAAAATAAATGCGAGTCATAAATAAAAATATAACAGTGGTTTTTAAACATTTATGAATAAAAATAATAAATCCAAATATTTATTTTTATGATTAATTATTTTTTATTCAAGGTATTTTTTTTTGCACTGCATTTTTTTATGAAAAATAAAATATATGATATATACTTTTTCCTCAAATTAGAAGACCAAAAAGAAAGGTCAATATTTTTTGTAAATAAATTCATATAATATATATATCTTTCTTAAAAGAAGTGTGAGGAAAACATGTTTCTCAAGTTAATAATTTTTTTTATGATTGCACCAATTAATCAGTGATATATTATCAATACTAAATATAATACAACGATGCATTAACAAACGTGTATTTGTTGTCATATCAATAATTAATTTGGCACGATCAAAAAATGGAAACGAAATTGGTGAATGCTTATTTTATATATATATAAAATTTAAATGGCATTGATATATTTACCAGAAATGTCAACTGTCTTTTTGGAAACGTGATTTTTATATTGAATGATAGCAGTTGAAAAGGTGGCATAGAGGAGTTCCCGTCGCCGTGCTTTTGGTTGGAAAGATTTGGTCGTCTCTGGGTCGGGCTGATGGATTCTGAACGCGGATGCGATTCGAAGCTGTCGATTCTTTCTTTCTGTCCGTCCATCACGAAGGTTTTCGCCTTTCAGTTTTCAGATTTCTCTTTCTCTGTGGAATTGACGCCTAGGTTTCGAGAGCTGTGGCCGGGATCTGCGACATAGAACAGGCTCTCTTTGAAGGGTAGGCTAATCATTTTCTTCAAAATATCTTTTGTTTTTAGGCTTATACGATGGATTGACGATGTTTTGTAGGGTTCTACGGTGGATGCCGTTACTCTGATTGAGAAAATTATCTGAGATGTATATTCTTGTGTTCATATTAATAACAACACAATTGACCAAAAAAAAAAAAAGGGGAATAAATATTAGGGTGAGTTTCGGGCGGCGGTGTGGCACCGCATCTCTGTCTTTACTGTTCGTTAAAACTACTTTTTGCCTGCGTTTAAAAAAGTTGCTGCAGCTAAGTGTTGCCTGACATTTTTTAACAAGCAGCACAAATTTTTTAACAAAAGTTTATTCTTCAGTACCTTCACAGCTGATTCTTCAAATAACTGCAACTACCACAAACAAACAGAATCTTAATTTTGGGTTATGTTTGGAGGGCGTGAAACAAAGGGCGTCAAGGTTCGGCAAGATGTACCAACTCAAACTTGCTTTATATGGAATAGACTTAGTTTATTGTTAGGCATTGATATTTTTGCTTTAGCATATTGTCATATTTGATATGAGAGAAAACTAACATTTTCATTCATGTGTTACCGAAAGCACTATGGTCGGATTAAAAGTGTGAAGCTAGTTGGCTGAGTTGGCAAGACAAGTCAGTCAAATCAATCCAACCAAATAATTTGACCAAGAAAACTGTCAAGGCAGCTCGTCCAAGATGCTTAGCCTCCACTACTCGAACATGGCAACTCGGCTAAACATGCATAAAAGACCGACCATTTCAGGCCCTTACAAGAGAATTTAATAACAAAGTCTCTCAAGATAATTGGATGAACCTCGCCAACTCGCCTTGGAGTCGAACATGCCAGCAAAAACGTTATAAAAAATTAAAATTAAAAAAAAAAGTTGCATTTATGGGGCAATCATCAAGATGAGTTATTATAAAAAAAAATATTAACATGCATGATAGAACATGATAAAGAATATATAGAGCATATTTTTTGAGAATTGTGTTATTAATGCATTATTTTGTAACATGTATGAACTCTTCTATACATAGGAGCGGTCACCGGGAAAAGGGGATTTCTAGATATTGTAAGGCACTGATATTCTTTAAATTTATTCTTCTATTTTCTATGTTTTGAGCTTCTTATTATTTTAGCTCTTTTATTTGGTGTTTGAATCCATGGAAAATGCGATCTAACATCTTGAAAGATGCAATGAGCGTGAATCATGCCATAAATAATTAGTGGGGTTATAATAAGAGCAGAGCTAAGCAACAAAGAAGTATCAAAGAACATGGAGTGCACAAGAGAATTTATTGAGCAACAAATTAATGCATTTAAAGAGCAAATAATGAAAGTGATAAGTGAAATTTTGGAGTATGTGTTAAAAGTAATACCTAAGTTGCAAGTGCCAGTTTCATTTCTAGAATCAACGGTGCAGCAGAGGAGAGCATCCGTTGTTGGGACGAGAAGAAGTCTGCTATTTATTCCAACAGATCAACATGAAACACACTACTCAGATAATGCAAACTCCTCTTATTTGGATTATGAGAGAGAGAGAGAGAGCTAGCTGAACCACAAAGAAGATATTCAACCGGCGAGTGCTTTTTCAAGGGAAATCGGTGAAGCTCAAGCTCCAACATGAATGCCTAAAATGATGCCAACTCGCAGGCTTGCATGGGTCATGAAATAGTCTAAAAAACCTAATGAGTAAAATCGGCAAAATAATAAGCTACCAAAAATAAGTCTAAGGTAATTGGTCAAACTCGACTTTGCCTGAATTACCCTAAATATAGCAGTATTTCTCGTTACTCCAAGGTATCTTTTGTGCCTCAGGTGTTGTTTCTTATCAGTTTGCTACCACCAACAACCCCCTTGGTTAAACCTCATTAGTAGGTGCGAATAATGGTGACAACTTCGCTGGCATCCTTAATGGTGGTGATCTTGTTAATGTTTGACCTGTAATGCAGATTAATATTACTTTGGTCTCTTTTAAAATAGGTTGTCCAGAAGTTAGGAGGTAGATATAAAGGGGAGTGTTGGATTCTCAAAAAATCATTATAAAACCAGCACAAATCATGAGAATAGATAATATCCAAGGAAGGGTGTTCAAAATCTAAAATTAACTTAGGCATTTGCAATAAGTAATGGGTTAGAATAAATAAGATTATCCTCTTCAGAAACCCACTAGGCAAATATCTTGCTTTAGGGCTGCAATATCCGATGCCATTACTAGTGGTCTTTTTTTGTTGATTGGTGTCCAACTGCAGCAGTCTTAGCGGGAAATTAACGTTGAAAGTGATCCGCCTCCTTAAAATAAATGGAATTTTTTTTAACTTATCGCACACGATTGATTTTGAAGCGATCTCTATAAGACGAGAACAAGCCTTATATATTTTTTTTTGCAATGGTGTTGACATTTTCTGCAATGGCGATTACATTGTGCTCATCATATTTTATGTGAACACTTTGGAATTATAATGATTTCTATCCTTACATCATATACTAGACAAAAATCCACCTTATTGCCTCCGTTCAAATTGGGGCCTTCCTTCAAATGGGCGCCGTTTTGATTTGACACTTATAATACCAGAGGAAGCTTGAGCCTCCATTCACATCCATGAATGAGACATTTTGATTTGTCACTTAGAACACCAGAGGAAGCTTGAGCCTCCAGTCACATCCATAAATGGGACCCCTGATTCAAGGTTCCCTTGGTAGGAATAATCAGGTAAACCAATCAAACTTGATCAACCAAATCGGCCTGACCCATTTCCAGTTGTTTTCTTTAGGCTCAAGGCAAGTCTATCATTTCAGGTCCTGGACAAATTTAGGATATACATCAAACACTTTTCAACTGCTGCTAGCCATTGCCGAAAAGTTTTCAATAATTATGCTTATTTCCTTAATAAAAGAGCCTTACAACTTCGAGAAAAACTTTGAGCATTTTAAGTTATTTTATGTTAACCTTCCTGAGTGGTATTAGGATTTCTATCATGAGACCAAAACTCTTGCAACGCATGAATCTCTGGAGCCACCCACCTATTCGATGAGCAGAATCTACTCCCGCAATTATCAGCATGATTGTTGGAGGATCTTCTAGAAGGAAAAATTCTCATTTTGGATGCTAACTCTTTTTCCTTAGTTATTGATCTGCAAGATTAGCTCTAAGCTGAAATCTATTAATTTGAAGGCCAACAAGTGTCACAATGTTCTTTGATTGTTGGATATTTAGAAAACTCTAATTTGTTGAACATTATGTTATTTTATTTTTTTGTGAAGGCATTCCATTATTACATTTAAAGTTATTGTCTATTTACCACTTATTGATGATCATGGAAAAAAAGAATCCGCTTGCTCTTTGTTGCAAATTTTTATGGTTTATAGTGCTTGAAAGCGAATAGGTTGCTTTTCTGTATTTGGCAACTTTATCATCCCAATTTTAATTTAAAAGAAGGACGACAAAAAATTACAACTAACAGATTAATAAATAAGCAAAATGTGTATCCTTTAGTAGCTCTTTTCATCATCAGAAATCTAGTGTGCCTGTCTTATTTTATCTTCAATATGCTGGGCAATTTCGCCACTTGCAAATACACTTAAGCTTTTCATTGGTTTTAGTGTTGATCATATTCTATTTATGAGTGATATGTGGTTAAAAATTTGTCTAAACTGGAACTTTATTTAAAGCAGATTGACTAAATCAAAACTTCCACGAGCCCAAACTTACTGAATTTAAAGCAGCAGTTTGCAGTCATTGTCTAAGGGAGATCAGATACCAAATCGTGCTTTCATATCCTGAATAGCTCTTACAAGAGGTTGTGCAAAGTTCACAATGCATCGTTCAAGGTTTCAAACTCCTGGCTGGGCTGCTTTTGATCGCAAGCACCGAGAAAAGCAAGGAAGTGGAACTGAAGGTGCTGTCGTCCCTTATCCAATCATCTCAAATGAAACAAATTCAGACTTGATGGAAAGTTCAAACAATACTAACTCTGGAGAAAGCTCAGTGTCCATTGGGCCTGTGCCAACAAGGTCATTTTCATCAGTTGTTCTATCTTCAAAGCCTATTGAATTTCCATTTTTCAATACTCATTCAAAACCGGGTACCTTGAATATTAACATTGATGGGGATGAGCATGACGCCGTCAGAGAAAGTAATGTGAATCCTATTTGGATGCTGAAAGATGTTCATAGTTGGGCTGATCAACAATTGATTAAGGATATATTAGCAGCTGTAAATAATGATGTTGGAAAGGCATCAATTCTTTTGAAAGAAATGTTTTCATCTGAAACGGAAACTAAAAATGTGCAACCTGGTTCTTTTGGAATGTGCTCTCAGATTAATCTGAGTGAACATGTGGATGTTTTTCTGGAAAGAAGTAGCACTTTCGAGGAGAATAAATTGTCTAACAATTCTCACAATAAATTAATGGTTAAGCAATTCTATGTCCCTAATGAACCTGACTGGGAAGAGGATGATGTCTACTTAAGCTGTCGTAAGGATGCATTAAAGATGATGAGGTATGGTTGTTGATGTATCAAGGCTCTTATAAATTGATTGCAAATAATGATTAAAAAGTGGAGTTATTTTATCCCATTACTTTGATGATTTTCCATTCTATCAAAAATGATGCTTAGCTGCAGTGGTTCCGTGCTTTATCCTACTTGTTGACCATTTTATGTTCCATTGCATCGACTTCCTGCTG